ACCATTCTGCGGTGACCTTTGATTCTGTGACGGTATCCTTATAACCGTTCCAATTTCTTTTTGCGATGACGGCATCCATATAGCCGTTTCTCTTTGCTGTGGCGGCATCCATCTAGCCGTTTCCTTTTGCGCTGACGGCATCCATATAGCCGTTGCAGTGGTCACATTCACTGCAGTACCATTCTGCAGTGGTGACCTTTCCCTTTTATCCGGTGGTTTAGGGTCGGGGCGATCAGTAGGCTCACCGGTGCCTTTTGATCTTGCCCGTTTCCCTGAACCGGCGCCCCACCTTGTTGCGCGCCCTGCACATTGCCTTGTTGTTGTCCGTTACCAATTGCCGGGTTAGGGTTTTGTCCGTTTCCCATGTTCTGGCCGCCACCAATATTTTGTCCGCCACCCTGTTGGTAGTTTCCTTGGCCGCCTCCGTTTCCACCGCCTTGATTGTTGCCATAGTTCCCGCGGCCATAGCCTCTGCCTCTTCCTCTGAAGCCGCCGCGGCCGAAGCCACCACGGCCGTAGCCGCCATTGTTCTGGCCACCGCCGTTACCATTTCCGTAATTCCCGTTTCCATTCCCTTGATTTTGGAAATTTGCTTTATGTTGGTACCATTGGGTGATGAGGTCATATCCGTTTGCGACCGCTGGGCGCCAGCCACCTATAGCTCGGAGGCGTTGCCACTCGTTAAAGGCAAACAGATTCGGGTTCTGTTCTGGTGGTGTATTGGCGAACTTGCACCCCTGTGTCTGATGGTTGCCGTACATACAGTACTGGCACATCTGCACATTGTTCGCCACCCATCCATCAATCATCTGGAACTTGAATTCGGTTCGTGATCCTTGATTTTGCTGTTGATTCCCTCTGAAGTTTCCTTGACCTTGACCTCGTCCCTGGTTCTGGAAGTTCCCCTGACCTCCATTCCAGTTTCCATTTCCGTATCCATTTCCGCCAAAGTTTCCGTTACCCCCTCCTTGTTGTGGTAACACGACATTCATAGGGACCATATTCTGTGGTGTAGGTGGGGCTACATTCTGGGGAGCCACATTTTGGGCTACTGGGCTCACTTGAGCTGCTGCCTGTATCGCCGCCACCATCGCATATGTTATCGGTTGTCCCGTCTGACTGTCGATAAAGGTCACCTTTTCTGTGACCTCCCTAACCGGAGTCTCCACTCGGTATTCAACCGGCTGCTGGACTGGCGCAGCTGCCATTCTAGGTTGCGGCACGTTTTCGACTTGGCCTTGCCGGATGGTCACGTATTCCTGATTGCGTTGACCTTTCGGCGCTTTATACTTTTCCTCACCCGTTGCCCAATGACGGAAGAAGTCCTTCACGTCCGTTGGCGTCTTACACTTCTGTATACGCAATGCTTTGTAGAGTTCATTGTCCACTCTACATCCTTCGATTAGGAAGCCCACTGCTTGCTTTTCCGTGATGATCCGTTTTGCTTTGAATCGCATCATGGCCTGGTAATACTGGTCAAGCGATTCCTTTCCGAGCTCGAATTTCCTTGCGTAGGCCTCGCGTAAGCCTAGGACTTCCTCATCTCGGTCGCCATATTCATCTTTAAATTTTTCCATCCATTCAGTTATCGAGTATTCGATTCCGTCTTCTGCTGCAATGTCCTTTTCTCCTTCAAACCAGGTTTTTGCGGGACCTTTCACTGCACTGGCTATCTCAATCATGATTTGGTCATCCGTCAACTGATAAGTCCTTTGGGTTTCTTTCACCAGTCGTGTCCACCCACTCACTGTGTCGCGGCTGCCGTCAAAGGTCATGAGGGGCGTTTTCCTGGCCATCGAGTTGAGTGCTTTTGTCAATTGTACCGCTGTATTTTCTGCTCTCTGGTCCTCGTCTTCTTCGCTACTTGCATCATCACTTTGATTTCGTTTCGCTTTTCCATAACGGGATTTCCTTGGACGCTCCTGCCGGCTGGAGGGTCTGTCCCGTCGCCCTTCATCGATGAACACATTTGTTTCAAAGTGCGGGGGGAATTGTGAAGGGTCACCTCGACTCATATGCGGGTGACTTTCCGAGGGTGGCTCTTTGTCATCTTTGACCTTTTCGCCATCTCGTTCCGTTTTCACGCTTCCTTTTCCGGTACCAGTTCGTAATGGCATATCAAAGTGGAAGCTTTTGCCCGTGCCCGTTTCATGCGCCTTGCTGTAACTGGGCGGAGGAGACTCCACTGTTGCCGTTTTAACTCCGTATTGTAGGAGTTGTTCATCTTTATGTTTGTTGGACATTTGAAGAGCTTTATTTTCATCTTCGAGGCGCTTAATCCTAAAATCGGATTGTTCTTTCTCATTCTTCAGGTTCTGGTTCTCTTGGTTGACCTTCGACATCTGCTGATGCAGTTGAAGCGTTTTGTCTTGAATGACCTTTTCAGTATCATTTTCCACTTTCCTGATGTGTTCCGCCAACTGGGTCACGTCCCTTTCCAATGTCATGTATTCCTCAGCTGCTGCTTTCAGCTGATTCTTGGTTGCAATCAACTCATCGTCTTTCGCCAGTGCTGTAGTTGTCATCTCGAGCAGTTCAGTATTCAGCTTTGTGACTTCTTGGTTCTTTTGAGCTACCTGTTGTTGCCATTCTTTGTCCTTCAGCTCCAATGCTGTGACCATTATATCCAGTCGCCGTGCTTCCTTTTGCCATTTGAGCCCCTCTTTGGTGACCTTTTGAATTTCCGCGGTGACCTTTTCATTTTCATCGTTGACCCTTGTAATCTCTTCCTTCAACCTTTCTCCTTCTGTTGCTGTAATGTCTCTCGCTTCACGCATCGCCTTGATTGCGTCATTGCGTAGCTTCTCAGCTTCGTCCGCCCGTTCCTGATGACCTTTTGACTCGCTTTGCAGAGTGCTGATGGCTTCGTCTCGTAGCTTCAAATCGTTTCTAAGTTTGAAGGTCTCTGTTGCTAGCGTTGTCAATCGTTGTGTGACCCCCGCAAGGTTAGCCGCATACTCGTCCCGCTTTGCCTCCGCTTCGATGACCTTTTGGCGTAACTCGTCACATTCGTCCTTCAATTCGGCTAAGTGCCGTGACCTTTCCGCTGACTCTTCCGACATGCTCTCGTTAAGGTCACTGACTGCAAGATGACCTTCCATTTCTCTGTCATCTACCATTTTCAAGTATTCGTCGGCCAGTTCCTTCTGTCTTTCGTATTTCACTTTCCAACCGTCTGCGGCACTTTGAAGGTCACCCTGTTGCTGCTCCAGGTCGAAGAGGCGGGTTTCAAGTGTGGTCAGTCTTTCTCGGTATTCCTGTTTCCGCTTGTCCGCCTGGCGTTCGTTAGCTTCAAGTTCATTCTCCAGTTCACTCACACGTCTCTTCAAAGTTGACGTGGGGCTGTTCGGTGAGGGCGGTCGTACGTTGATGACCTTTCCTGTTTGTGTCCGTTCGATTAGGTGCTCCGGTATATCTTTGAAAGGTGTTATCCCTTCAGCGCGGTCAGCCTCCTTCATCGCGGTGTTGAAGGACATGTTCATCGTCGTTTCATCATCCGTGAAATACGATTCGTTCGATTCATCTGAGACCATCGGAGTTGCCCAAAGGTCATCCTCTGCTGCTTTGTCGTTCAGTGAAAGGTCACTCAATCCCAGTTCAGCCAATTCCTCTTCGGTGACCTTTGTCTTTTCCAATTCCGATTGAGTCAGGTTCACATTTTTATCCTGCTCCTTTGTTCGGCTAGTGGTAGCATCCAACTGTGATGCTCCAGCTAGTTCCTCTCTTCTTTCTGTGGGTTTATCCTCCCCGGTGACCTTTATCTAGTTCATCGGATTGCCTCCCGCTGCAGATGCAGGGGTTTCCTTTCCGTCACCGCTGGAGCTCTCTTCGTTCTGTATTGCTCCGAGCGCCACTTGGTATGTGTTATCACTGCCTTTGCTGTCTTTTCTTGCAAAGGTCACAGCCGCTCGGGTCTGTCTGTCATGTCCGACTGGACGCGCGAGCGACTTATATTCCTTCTTATAAGGATCAACTGTGCCTTGTTGTGATCCTCGGGAGCTCCTGCTTCCCTGACTGCTGGTAGATGTCGGTTCTTCTTTGTCTTTGTCCATGTTGATCGGATAACTTGGACGCTCCTGCCAATTGTTCTCACGCAAACGTTATTATATGGTTCATTCAATTTTCCTAAAGGTCACTCTGTACCTCCGAAATTTTTCTAAGTCCTTATTAAAGGTCACTTCTCGACTGAAAAATTTCGACTAAGTCCCGTGTAAAGGTCACTTTTTCGATAAAAAGTTCGAGAGATTTGCCCTAAAAGGTCACTTTCGGACAAAACTTCGAAACCGTTTTTACAGTTTGAAACACGTTAGCAAATGAAATCCTACAGCTGCTGATATCGCTGTGTCACTATTCACTTCAATTTCACTTCGATAAAGGTCACCTTTCGTCAGTTTCAGATCACAAAGGTCACTTAAATAAGTCAATTAGGACAATTCCAACTTTTCAGTAAAGGTCACTTTTCAGGTCAAAAGTCCTGTTCTGATCTCAAAGGTCACTTTCCCTCTCAGTTCAACTCAAAAGGTTGCTTTCCGACTCAATTTCTGTTAAAAAGGTCACTTTCCCGCTCAATTCAAGTTAAAGGTCACTTTTAAGCTCAATTCGATCAAAGGTCACTTTTCCTTCGTCTCAACTCAAAAGGTCACTTCTCAACTCAATTCAAGTCTAAAGGTCACTTTCCCGCTCAGTTATCTCATCTTAAATCAAGTTTCCCATTACGACTCGAGTTCAACGGAAAATCCCCATTCGGGTTGTTTACTTCGTTCTGATTGGTCCGCTAGCTCAAAATATTCAGTTCAAATGTCGACCAATCACAGCTCAGATAACTGACCAATCCCGTTTCACCATTTAAATTTTATATTAGCCTGACGTCACGGTCAACGGCCAGACATGCGTGCCGCGTGCAAAACTCCGCCTACATCTACGCTCAGCTCAGAACGGACCAATAGAAATTGATAATTTTACCGTCTAACCAATCCCGTACTTAATAACGGTTTTTCTACCTGTTAACCGTCCGTTCCACGGGAAAGTGATCCAGATGATCCAATTCTTCTCCACCGTCCGTTCCCGCGCTGCCGCTTTTCCGTAGCGGTTGTGCCGCCCGCTTTTTTGTATGCTACTGTGCCGGCTGACTGCCGTAGCAACAGTAGTGGTGCTCTACTCCAGTTTGGAGGAGTCTGATCTGTCTTTTCCCGTGCGCCCCTTTTAGCGCTTCGCCGCTTGTGGCCCACGGCTTAGGATTCGCTGAATCCTTGCCGAGTATCAGCGACACCAGTGTAGGTCTTCGCTGAAGACTCTACACCGAGGAACGCTGACGACTGAACTCTTGGACTCTTGCTCAGCTGAGGAAACAGCACAGGTCTTCGCTGAAGACGCTGTACCGAAAACCAGAGCTGGAAATCCCCGTCAGATGAGGCAGTTCACCGCTTGTGGTGTGCGCTTTGCTTTTCAAAGGACCTGTGCCTTACTGGTCAGATATCACATCAAATAACAGGCCAACTTTGCCTGGCAAAAATCAGATCAAATCAGAGAACCGCTGTCGGCTCTGCTACCATCTAATGGTAGATCCAGGATGGATCCACAGACGGAGACAGAAACGGAATCTATCCCGTGGAGTGAGCGACACGATCTGGGTCGCGAGCTATGCGGAAACACAAAACGTCGCACCGTAATCGCTGACTTTTAATAATGTTGAAAGTCTGGAGAACAGAAATCAACAAGTGATCGGCGCAGCTCGATCGTAAAACGTGGAGCCTATTCAACAGTGTGTAACACTGTGCAGCACGTGCTATGCCGCGCCCACTAACAGAACACAAGCCAATCAGAAGCGAGACACAACACAGACCGTAATCCAAAGGCGTAGCGCCTAGCGCCACGGGCGTGAACGCTAGTGAAGCCTCGTCTCACACTGTAATAGGCAAAAGTCGCAAAACAAATTCCTTAACGTAACTTCCGTATTGGAATTAGGAAGACCGTCGCCACGCTCCGGTCAATTAAAAATTCGCACAAAATTATTTATACAGGTACGTGAAGTAGTAAACTATTACTGTAATTTTTGTCTCGATTTGCCACTTCTAATAATTATTTATTTTTCGCAATTTGCGCGAGGCCTGCTGGTGATAGCATCATAAATTATGGTTTACATGAGAACCCGTGGTGCTTTGCAGGTACGAATGACAATGGGCATCCATCGCTAAAATTGTTTTGTTGTGTAATATCGGTACGATGCTCGTGCAGATGCATAAAAACCAATAAGACGAGATAGATCCACAATTTTGGATAGAACCACATTTGGCTTGGCACGGATTAGCCTGAAGGATCAGAATTGTTGAGCATGGACATTTCACGTAATCTTTCACGTAATCTTTAACGTAATCTTTAAGAGACAGCTTATTTCTAACTAACGCATCCGCTCACATCTGGGGTCAACCACCAGTTAACACCGCTGTGCGTCCATGAAGCGAAAGTGACCTACTTTGGAAATGAGCGAGAAAAGGTAGGATCTGGCGGTGGCATACTTGTTGACTTAGTTAACTGATTAACCTGCTGTACCACTGGGTAAGTAATTGGGTTTCATATAGAAAGCACTCTAATTCCCGGGGGTGTCTTGAGTGCTCCGAGCACACTGTTCGTTACAGATCTTATTTCAACACTCGGTAAATGTACAAATGTGATGGAGGATTGCAAATTGAAATAACAGTATCGTAATACTACGGTATAGCACATTGGGCATTGTGATAATTCACTCTTTAATTATATATTTACTTTATACCATGGACACTACCAGTGCCATCCAGGGAGAATTATATTATCCAGTGTCACACTGGAAAATACGATTTTTTCCCTGGCTGGTGTTAAGTGCGTGGATTACGCCGGTTTATAACCAGGAGACGCCCGCCGGTCTGCATGGATATGTGAGCCAATGGAAGCCCGTTTTGCAAGCGAGCCAGTGACAAGAAAGGCGGCCTGGGGTTGTATCAGACTGTTGTAACAGCGGACCAACTTTCTTGTTACGTTACTGACAGGTGCTAAGCGGCGCTTGCAAGTTAGACCACAGACGGATCCGGACGCTGTCTTCTCCCTGCTGGGCATTGCACACGCTGCCTCGTACACCGAGCAATGCGTATGGAATTTTGCGTAGGCAAATTGGTGCCCTGCCCATGCTGCACAAGTTTTCACCGTTCCGTTGTTATGACGCCGAAAAGCGCTGGCATGAGAAGCATGTGGCGCTATGGTCGTAGAACGCTGGTGGGCGTTGGCTGAATCATACTGAATGCACCACCGAGCTACGCGATCACTGTCCCAGATTTCACTCTTAATTGAGATTATCTCAAAAAATCATTTATGTGTACTCGTAAATTACGTTGGAATTTTTAAACATACTTAAGCAGACAGTAAGCCATAAAATAATAAAAAAACTGCAAACTACGTACACAGTTCACAACTGACAACAGTTTCTGTAACATTTTGTATTGTTTCTTAATTTTTTCCGCTGTTCATGTATTCCGCGCATTTGCGCGAATCTACCAGCGACTGCGATATCATACCTGGCATTTGGCAAACATTATCGTAGCGGGTTCACATTAAGAAACCGTAGTGCGATGCCAATGGGTATGTATTGTCAAGACTGCCTTTATGTGTAATAAGACGAGATTTAGCCAAAATTTACTTAACCACTCGGCTTGGCAGAAATCACTCAACGGAAATCAGAAACTGTTGAGTATGTATGGAGGGTTCACCTATTTTTGACTAGCGCCTCCGCTCAGATTTGACATCAATCACCCCGCTCAAATTTGACATCACTTTGCGTCCATACAGCGAAATTAACTGCTGTGCGGATGAGCAAGAAAAGGTAAGATGCTGTGGCCTATTTCTTGACACCATTAACTTATTAATCGGCTGAAACACTGGGCTAAGTAAATGAGTTTCATACAGAAAGCACTTTAATTCCTGTAGCGTGCTTAGTGCTCCCAGCAGAATGTACTCGTACATTACCATATTTCTTGCTTCGACAGTCGAAAAATAAAGCTGTTCAGGACAGAGTAGTTGCTATTTTTCTTATTCATGCCTGCATGTTGCTCGTGTTTCTGTTAGCTTTGTAGTACTTAAATAGCAGCATATTGTGAATTTTGCAGCATATTGTGCATATTTCCGTGGCAATTCTTACTTTGTAATTTTTGACCGTTGTCCACTGCTGCTAAACGGGCTCTGCTCTGTAGAGCCCTGCAACGGACTGGTAAATCCGAACCGCTCCGAATCCACTCCGATTTTCGGAGCGGATTGGACGGAGTTGTTTTAAAAAAATTCGGATCGGAGTGGTTTCGGAGTTTAGGCTTGCCTGAATGGATCGGATTCGGATGTAATTATGACTCCGAATTATCCGAAATAAAATTATATTTTCAACTGATTTTTATAGAATTTCCATAATTTTTAGGACAAAAAGCACCGCCAGCTTCGCGCTCCGCGCGAGGCTTCTGTGTGATTCGGTAAAGCACTAAACGTAGCTACTTCTATTACTTACGTTAACTTCAGTTACTTACTCTGTGCCCTTTGTTAGAAGCGAAGCTTGTTCAATAAAAAAAAAATCCGAATTACAACTTTTATGAGTTCTTTTGTTGAGAACTAAAAGAGATGCCACTAACACGTGAAAGCACCAGTCAGAAACTGTGGTTTTTGCGATGGCAAAAAGATCAAAATTTTCGGAATTCGCAACTCGAAAAACGCTCAGGTATGAGCAATCTATGGCTAAGACGACGCAAAATTTAAACGGAGATTGTATAAAAATCAAATCAAACGTTCCGAAGATTTTAAAAATTGAAAATTTCGATGATAACTTGGCGTGCGCTATCTTTAATTGTTGCAGCGGATAGTATAGGTATTATGGATTTTTCTGGAATGAAATAAAAAATAAATATCACAAAAATTTTCGGAGCGGATCGGACTGGATTCGGATTTGTAAAAAACATTTACGGATCGGAGTGGTCGGAGTATGATTTTGAAAATTCGGAGTCGGACTGGGTTCGGAGAAAAATTTATTAGTTCGGGTCGGACTGGACGAAGTTTTCGACTCCGTTGCAGGGCACTACTGCTCTGTCGCACGACAATAAATTAACCCGCATTTATTAGTAGTTCTACAGTATAACGGGAATATTTCAATAATGCTGTCTTTATTTATGAAGTCGCCCTTCTTACCGCGGACAGTGGATGGTATGATATTTTTCTGGCTGGTCGTGCAGATATGTGTAGGGCCAACGCCGGTGTATATCCAAGGCGCCGGTCAACATATTTATCATAGCCAGTGAGGCCCTGTCTGCCAGCGAGTAAAAGACAAGAAAGTAGATCCGCTGTTATATCAGGTAAATTTGGCAAATTTGGCAACCATAACATTTGCGCGGATTTTTTTGTACCGTAAATGGCTGTTTAGCGCGGCACCAAGTAGTTTATGCTTACACAATATAGTACCAGTAACGCATTTACAACAATTGGTTTCATTGTGGGGAAAAGGCTCATTTATAATACATGTGCATTTGTTGTTCCATTGAAAATTTTGTCATGTCAGCCGAGATTCACCCTGATTATCGTAGGCGTGTGCCAACATAGTCCACAGCCGGTGCGGAGGAATCAAGCAAGCGCCAACTGGAAAGTGAGTCAGCCTTTTCACGAATGATGAATTGCATAATAGTTTATGTACCTGTCGTAGTGTAATTTATTGTCTGATCGAAAACAAAAGTGCCCAAGAAATTACGATGGACTGCGAGCAGCATCTGCAAGAACTGCAAGAATCTTGGTCGCGGGACATCGGTTTGGAGGATGAACTATCATTCGACTGTAATGATTTCAATAAAAGGGCGTGCGGCTTAAAAGATGATCTGCTGACGCTACCGGATGGAAATCGGTGGCAGGTGTCGGCTGCCGTTCCCCTGGTAAAGTGTCTATTTCGGCGCGCAGTTATCCACGGCTCGGATCAAACTAAAGTATCACCAGACAATACAGAATTCGAGGTGATGCGTATATAACTGCCGGTCGTGCGGTGTTGTGGAGTGGTACACTGCTAATATTGTTTTGTGTGTGCAGTGCGACTGCAACATCCGTGAAAAGATGCATTGGCGGGTTATCACCCGTGATTTGTCCCCAGAGACTGACAGAATCTGCGCTTACGAAATAGCCCTCTTATGCAGGAACATGTTAACTCGCCCTGGCCAGGTACCGTGTGGAACAACATTAAAATATATATAAATTTTTTTTCATCAATATTATTGTTCAACTTGCAACCATGTGATTTTATGGTGATAGCATTAATATTGTCATTAGTAGCCAAAACAGCTTTAATCAGCTTCTCTTAATTTAGGCATGTTACTGGGAAAATTGCTTACAGTATTCCCAACTGTTCTGTGTTGAATATTGTAGAAAAACGAATATTGTATAGTATTGTAGAAAAACTGTATTGTATTGTATTGTAGAAAATTGTAGATTGTATTGTATTGTATTGTATTGTATTGTATTGTATTGTATTGTATTGTATTGTATTGTATTGTATTGTATTGTATTGTGTGTTGTCGTTGTATTGTAGAAAAACGAATGGATCTTAGATGAAAACCGAGAAACTTACCGTAGTGCAACGACTGCGGCAAGTGCCCAGGAATCATCGTCCTCGGACGTTGGGCAGATAACTATTGGAATCGTTGTTGGAGGCTTTGTCCTGGCCGCAATCGGTAAGAAAATTTTGTAATGTAATGTAATGCAACCAATACAGCAAAGCAGCGTGTTCGACGGTCACAGTCAATGCGTGATCAATGCGTGACACAGATTCTCTTCGGTCGATAATGTGCAAGTAATAAATATCATGGGTGAATCGACCGATCGATCATAACC